TGTTTGGCTATAAAGCAGGCGGAAAGAGTTTCTCTCTGCACAGGTGCAGTTAAACGTGCCTTCATTTACTTATTTCCCCTTCCATGAGTTCACCTATATTCCTATTGGGATGATCATTTCATCATTAATTTATAAAAACCCTCTTGGTTAAATGAATATTTATTAATATTAATATAATTAACGTTTGGGTGTCAGAGCTGTTGAACACACTTTCTTCAGTTTGTTGTTTTTCTTTTAACTTTTTTTACGCGATGTTCTCATCTTTATATAATCAAATCTATTGATTTTTTTCCTTTCTAATGTTAAAGTTTCTTCCACATCCAGAGAACTATTAAACATTTGACAACATTTTCTTCTGGTTTTTAAATGATTTACCTTTTTTTTTGTTCAAACTTACTATGCCTGTAATTTATTTTTGGTGTTTGATATGAAGCAAGGATCTAGACGGATTTTGTTTTTCTAAATGGCAGCTGATTCCAGTATCACTTATTGGGAATCAGTTTCTGCCCATTTTTAAATTTGCCTCTTTCTGTTTATTTTGTTTCTCTGGCAAATATGGGCAGTTAGATCTTGAAAGCAAATTTGATAATATTTTTAAAGACAGAAACTCAAACCACTGACATTAGTATTAAGAATGGTATCTGCTTTTACTTATAGTCTTTTTATACTTTGTCTTTATACTCACTTATCATTTGTTTTCTGCCTCTTGCTGTGTGTGTGTAATTAATTTTTGCAGCAATTTGAAAGGTTTACTCAATTTTCGTCTCCACTTCTGGTTTCCTTTAAGGTAAATCAATCAATCACTTAGGTCTAATTAATAAATCAATTAACAGTTAAGACTATATTTCCCAAATTGTCCACTTTATGAAAGATGGTTATTCATCTCTAGTCCCTTTTCCCATTTATTTTTCCATTTCATCACTCAACTTAATCTTAAATTACAAACTCACATTATTACTTATTATTATACAATCATCACAATATACAGTTTCCCTTTCAAAAACCGTTTTGGCTTTTTCATTGGATTTCACAACCACATTTTGGATGAACTCACTCGACGCTGTGTGTTTAACTGGCCTCAGCTCTCTCCACTTGAGATGGTAATTTTGATGCGTTTCCCTGTGGCTGGAGCATCCTTGAGTAGTTTTCGGGAAGAGCAGAGAGCTGCTGTCCTGCCTCAGCCCGCGTCCACGCAGATCAGAATGCGCGGTGGGAGTGGGAAGGAGCCGGAGGATGGTTGGTCAGGGAGGCAGCTCAGCACGTGCCGGCTCTGCCCTGTGGGCCGCCCCACCTGGCCGCCCATGTGCTTATCCTCGTTCCCCTGAACTGAACCCTGTGCAGCCACCCCTTTGGACTGCAGGTCACCTGGCACTGCTGTGGGTGGAGGGATCCGGGCCTGGTCTTGTCTCCTCACTGACGAGGTGGAGCTGAACTCCGTCAGGGCTCCCGGAGGACCACTGATGGGCGGGCTGCATCACCCGGGAGCTGATAAACACACAGACGCCCCCAGACCCTACCTGCATAGATGTGGACTCAGGAGATCTGGGCGGGGCACTGAGTTCTGCCCCACTTTCTATAAACACTCAGATAAATATGACGCGGTGGCAGATTTAGGACAAGAGCCTCTGTGGCCCCCCTTCCGTGATGTGTCCCTTCCTTCCGGTGCATGGTTTCTGAACCTCCTGGTCCCCCTGGGAGCAACCGGTCCCTGTAAGTCAGAGAGGACCACCTCCTCGTGTGGGACGGGCTGCCGGGAGCAGGTGTCCAGGCAGGGAGATGTTTGCTGTGTGACTCTGAGCCCCATGGACCAAGACCCCTGCGTCTCCCCGTCCTCTGCCCCTTCGGGATCTCACACCCCCAGGGACGCACATCTCCTCCTCTTTCCTCAGCCCACTCTGGCCAGTGGCTTCCTTTCTTCAGCCTGTAGAGAAGCTTAAGTCTTTCCCATCCTAAGCACAAAAGCAAACCCAACCCCGGCTCGGACCTGCCTTCCCCCTGCACGATCGCCAATCTCACGCCTTCCTCTCGCGGAATTTTCCACAAAAGCCTCGTCCACCCCCTTGAGCTGAGGGACTCTAGGAGAACCCTCTCCCTCTCTGGGTCCCAGAGCCGTGCTGTCCAGTACAGTGGCTGCTAGCCACACGCTGAGCCCGTGAAACATGGCTTGTCCGAATGGAGATGCGCGGGAAGCGCCCGAGATGCACCAGGTTTAGCGATTAAGCACAAAACTGAGAAAGAATGTAAACCGTCTCTTTAATAATTTCATGTATTATTTATATGTTGAAATGACGGTAGTTTAGGCATATTGGACTAAATAAAATACATGATTAAAATGAATCTCCCTTGTTCCTTTCGACTTTTTAAATGTGGCCACTAGCAAGTGGTCAACGACGTATGTGGCTCTCGCAGCATCTCCATGGGGAAGCGCGGCTCTGACAGTGAGGAGCTTTCTTCAGCTGGAGGCAGCACAGCAGCGTTCGTGGTCCGATGAAAGGAAGTCAGGGGTCCCCAAAGAAGAGGAAGCCGATTGCTTTGTATTTTCTTAGATGCCCAAAGATTCGAGAGTTGACTCTGCCTGCCGGTGTCTGGTGTGCAGGTGCCTGTGTGTAAGAGGCGGTCACATCCTTTTGGAAGGTTGGATGCTGCCACGGCAGATCCCCAGCTTCCTGCCCGGTCTCTCCTCTGGTTCCACCTGTCCTGGCAGCCTTTGTGCTTTTCTCCTCCTCGCTCCTCCACCGGGATTGAAAGCTCCCCACCGGCAGGGCCTGGAGCTGACATAGCCTCATGGTTTCCCGAGAGCCCAGCATCTTGACTGACAGGTGGGGGATGCCTATCAAGTCTTGTTGGGTTGACCTGAGGCGGAATGGAAGCGGGAGTTCTGTCTGCAGCCTGGACGCAGAAGACACGTGTGGGGAGAATGAGAAGGCTGCCATTTCTTCCTCCCCCTCCGCGCCCCCGGCCCTGGGTGCCCAGTGGTTCGCACCCACTCTGCTCCCTGGCTGAGGAGGACTGGCAGTCGGCAGGGGCTGAGGTTGTCCTCAGTCGAGCTTTGCTTCTCGAGACCACAGACGATTTCCTCCTTTTTCCCTCTCCTCGTTTAGGTGTCAGTCCCTACTGCCCAGGAGACATTGATTTTCCGCTGACCGAGAAATCCGCAGCGTGCGCTGACCGGCAGCAGTACTCCCTCTGCAGTAACAGGAAGTCGCTCTCACAACAGCTGGACTGTCCTGCAGGAAAGGCCGTGGTAAGGATGACGGGAGGGCCCGGGAGAGGAGGGAAGGGAGGGAGGGGTCCACACGTGGCAGCGGCTGAAGAGACCATGTGGATCCCTTTACTTCACCCACACGGTGACCCCAAGAGGCGTACGAGGCAGCTGGGGCTCGCACCTGTCAGGGAATGCACACAAGCTTGGTTGCTAAGACAAGGCAGCTGGGACTGGAAGTCGGGTCAGGACTCCAAAACCTGTGCTTTTAATCCCTGGGACGTAGTGACATGCTTTGCACACTTGCCTCCGATCTGTAAGACAAGCTCAGACAGGAAGGCACGACTAGCTCTCTGTTCAGTGTAGAAGCTGAGCCTTGGTGAGCTGAGCGGCCATCTGGGTTCAGGCGTCTCAAAACCTAAGGGACCGGCATTGGCACCAAGCCCCATGTGGCTCCCAGTCCGTGCCCTTCCCGCTATGGCCCTCAGCTGGCAGACGGGAGCTACGTAGACGAGAAGCAGTGTCCCCACACGTGTCGCTGCCTCCCCCTGTGGTCCCCTCAGCCCCCACCACATGCCTGCTGTGCCATCTGTGACCCCACGGTGCCCTTGGCCTGTGGCCCGTCCTTGCTCTCATCTCTGTCCCTGGAAACAGTACCGCATCCTTCAAAACCCTCTAACACCGACTTCTCCAGTGCACGGACCTCACCCTCCTCCTCGTGCCCCTCGTAACACGTCCGCCGTCTCCTACAGCTCTCGGGCAGTGAGCTCGCTGGTGCCCTGATTCACGTCAGTGTCTTATCTCCCCAGCAGACCGTGGGCTCCGCAGTTAGGGACGTTCGATTCTCCCGCACGGGACATAGGAGACGCTTGAAAATGTCATTCCTCTCTTCCCTTCCCCTCCTTGAGTTCTCAAGTTTTTCATTCCCAAATGGGAAGCATTGGCCATCCAGTGTTAGAAAGAGATGGCTTCCGAGGGACAAGTGATTTCACAGAGGAGGAAACTGAGTCACGGAAGAGTTAAGTCACTTCCCCAAGGTCACCAGCTGATAATTGGCAGAGAAAGGAGAACAACCCAGGCCGCGGGGCTCCAAAGTTTAGGATTTCACCTATAACCTGAGCCGTGTTGTTCTCCAGGAGGCAGCTCGGTGGCACACGGAGTAGATGCCTACGTGGCAACTTTGCTTCTCCTGGGCAAGTGGTTATCACCTGTCGGCCCCCCTGGAACTTAACGTTCTGAGTCCTTAATGCTGTGGGTTCTTCCTCCTTGTCTGCCACCCTAGGCCCGGCACAGAGAGGTGTCTCGGGAAATGTGTCCTGACTTCCGTCCCGGGCATTCTTGGCGCCTGGCTTCCCACCTGCCACTTGAGGCTTTGGTGATGGGGCTCACTGTCCTGGGGCAGCGCCGTCTGTGACGCATCCCTGGACCCGCTGCCCCGGGGAGCCTCTAGCTGCTGGTCTGCAGGGAGGTGGGGTCCTCAGAGCCAGCTCCGGGGACCAACATCAGCTGCTCTCCGGCGACCTCCATCCACACCTCATCAAACTCGTCCCGGGCATCAGGCTGGGGCCCTCAGGAGAGAGGGGATCTGGGCCCTCTCCCTGGCTGGGCCGGCCCCTTCCCGAGAGGCGTGTGCTGCCCTCCCGCTGACTCCCTGTCTCCCCTCCCTGGTCCTCATTGCAGGGCGCCTCCAGACCAACGCGGTCGCTGAGCACTGCTCAGCTCCTGCAGCCCTCAGGGGGCCTCCAGGCTTCCGTCATCTCCAACATCGTGCTGATGAAGGGCCAGGCCAAGGTAAGCGAGGCCCGTGCGGGCAGCAAGGACTGGAAAAAGTGCGGTTTTTGAGATGCTGTCGTGTCCAGGGCAGGAGAAAGACGAGAGGGGCGGTTCTGGCTCACGATTTGGAGGCACCGTGGATGCAGAAGGAAGGACGGCCGGGTTGGCCCCTCACAGCTCACAGGGGGCAGTTGTTCCCAGTATGATGCTTTCCAGGAGTTACGTTCACCTGATGGTTAGAATCAATCATTTAAATTGTGTCTTAGTTCAGGCTGCCATAACAAAAATAACACAGACCTGGGGGCTTCACAACAAACATTGGTTGCTCACCGTCTGGAGGCTGGAAGTCCAAGATCAGGGTGCCGGCAGACTCAGTGTCTGTCGAGAACTCCTTTCCTGGTTCATAGGCGGTGCGTCCTCTCTGTCTGCACGAGGTGGAGGGGTGAGGGAGCTCTGTGGGGTCTCTCGTATAAGGGCACTAATCCCACCGTGGGGGCTCCACCCTCATGACCTCATTGCCTCCTATAGGTCCCACCTCCCAACCATCACATGGGAGCTCGGTTTCAACATGAATCTTGGGGGACACACGCATTCAGTCTGTACAAATAGATTTCTGCTTCCTGATTTTGCCCCCACCCTTCGGGTGTCGGCAGAATAATGCACGGACCCTCATCTAGGTATTAAAAATACATACCACCTGCTACATGTCGATCATTCAAAGGTGTGCAATGCTTTTGCTGAGATTAGCGGTTCTCTCATCGCAGGAGAGTAACTGCCCCCAATGCTGACTTTTCCCCAAACAGCCCCTCTCTCTGATGAGAAATCCACAATGCTTCCCCTCCTCGAATTTACGTAGAAGCATTTTTAAAATAGTTGACTTTTAAATAGTTTGCGATGCCCAGAAGAAGGCAAAATGGAAAAGGGCACCAAAACTCAGGCAAAGACGACCCAAAATGGTTTATGTTATCTTGGGGTATATACAATGTACATTCAGGAGGTATCCTTTATGGGCAGATGGAGCTGGCCTAGAAGGGGCTGGGGGTGGAACGAGGGAGTTACTTGCTGTGGGAGGCCTGGAGGAGAGAGCGGGGACGGGGGTGTGGACTCAGAGATACGGCCGGCCGCCCGCTCCAGCTGACACAGCCTGGGCACCTAAGCGCTCAGCACGAACAGCATGAGGGTGGGAGCGAGCCCACAGCTGATTCAGGAGGATGAGGACGAGGAAGGAGAGCTAGAAGGATCCACAGGGGTTTGAGGTGGCGTCAAAATTCAATCAAACAACAAAGCCAGCTACCCGACCCCACGCATGTGCTAAGGGCTTTGCGAGCGCAGATCCTGGAACAGCTCCCTCCCAACAGTCCTATTATTGTCAACCCTATTGGGCTGCAGGACTTGCCCCAGTTCACCTGGTTAGTAGCAGCCAAACTAAGACAATGACCCAAGACTTCCTGGCCCCTGGAGCTTGTTCTTAACCACTGCACCATCCTGCCTCACCGGGGCGGGTGAGAGTTTGTGTCTAGAGCAGTTATTTCAGCCCGGAAAAGCGGGGGGCCCACAGAGGAACCTTGAAGCCGCTCCTTCCTCTGTGCTACTCCCGGTCACGTTCACCTCTCCCCTCCTGGATGCACACTGCCCTCACCAGAGCTTCGGATCGCCCCTGGTCCATGGGGCTTTCCGACTGGCCCGTGCCCGCCTTGTCCCTTATGGCAACCCAGAGAACTGCCAGGCCCCCCACCTCTGTGGTACCGGGAGGGGATGCCCCGAATCAGCTCCAGCCTGAGAGATGCCGCGCCCGGGCAGCGGCGCTGTTACGATGGGGGCCACCACTTCGAGGGTCTGTCCAGGAGCCAGGCTGCTGTGTGACCCTCCAGCCGACCTTTGTGACTTTGCTCCACATCGCGTGCTTCCTGAGCACCTGCCAGGGGCCAGACCTGACGGATGAGAGGCGTCCTCCACCTTCAGGGGCTCACGGTCCAAGAGGGTGTCCGTTGAGACCAAGCTGAGCCTTCTCAGGGTGGAGGGAGCTCCTCAGTCTTCAGCAGATGCAGCAAGCGTGTGTGTCCCCTCCTCCCGGGGTCGGCCCAGCTCCTTCTCGTCACACCCCGCAGGTCTGCAGGGCGTGCGGCACCCTCCCTCCTGTCTTCCCGCTGTGGCCCTCACTCACCTCCCACTGGCTTCCTCTCCCTCTGGGCTTCTCTCTGCGGCCTCCCAGGTGCAGGTGCAGGATGGGAGCCATCTCCCCGAGAAGGATGGGGGGACGCAGGACAGAAGGGGAGGGAACGGCTTGGTAGGAGAAGGGGTGCTTCTTCCATTGTAAGCGCTTCTATTATTACAGTAGTTGAGGCTTCGGTTGTTGTTGCTACGTATCTCACTGAATTTTCAGACACGACCCTGGGAGCTAATGGATTCCAGCATCATTTTGCAGGTGGTAAACTGAGGCTTAGAGACGGGAAGGTATCTGCCCAGAATCGCCAGCTAGAGGGCGGAGGCAGGATGAGGACTGGTCCATACATGTCCTTCGGCGTGGGGAGCATCAGACTCGTGCAGAAGCTCCAGACCCTGCACAGCCCTCTGGCCTTAGAGTCACAGCTTTCCCCACTCCTTTGTTTAGTCCTGCGACCAAGACCAATGGCACTCTCCTCCGAGTCCTTTGTTCCGGGCCGGACTGGCCCTGGGAAATGTAGGCCCAACGGACAACAGGGAACACTCCCAAATTCGACCCCTCCTCTCTCTCCCCAGGGCCTGGGCTTCAGCATCGTTGGGGGAAAGGACAGCATCTACGGCCCCATCGGAATCTACGTTAGAACCATCTTTGCGGGTGGAGCCGCGGCAGCCGACGGACGCCTACAGGAAGGTAGGTGTCCCATCCCTCAGGGGACCGAGTGTGGGACTCGAAAGCGGAACCGCTAGGCTGGAGGAGATGCCGGCAAAGCCGGATCTGTCTGGAGTCTTTAGAATTCTGCTGGTGTGGACTCTGGGGTTGGCGGGCAGGGGCACATCCCCCTTGAAGACTCCGTCATGACTGGCGCGCTGGCTGTGTGTCTGCCCGCTCAGTCTGGTCCGGCTGCCAGCCTGGGACAAAGACTGAGGCGTCTGCCTCTGCCCCCTCTCATCTCACTGCTGCCTTTCCCTTTCCTTTCGGGGTCCCCTCTGGGCTGCTGGCATCCAACGACATCCCCCTCTCTTCATTCTCTCTGCCTTCCCCAACCACAGCCACAGGGCAACCAGGCCCAGCCCTTCTAAGGAGCTGAACAAACATCCTCCACGAGCCCACTGCATTCTAGGCTCCAGGAATATAGAGAATTATCAGACATGGTCCCTGTTGTGAGGAGCTTGTGGTCCCTCAGCTGCCGTTCCTCCTTTCTGCCCACCTTTCTCCCGTCAGCAGCCTCCTCTCGGCTCCTTCGTCTCGTCGTGGGAGGGAAGCACCTGGCTGAGCTGGCAGCAGGGGCCTGGGCGCAGAGCTGTGTCCTCCGCGCCCTGTGTCTTCTTGTCCTGGAGCGGCCGGGCTTTCTCCCCACCTCCAACTGCACCCCGAAGTCCTGTTTGGGTTATTGGGCAAGAGGCTTGGTCTGAAGGGGTCTCCAGGGTTCAAGAAGGAGGCAAAAGTCTGGGGGGGGGGGGGGGCGGTCACGTCAGAACAAAGCCACTGCAGGCCAGACACTGGGTGACACAGGGACGTTCGAGGAGAAGTGGTTTCGCAGCATCCCCGCTCTTCTCTGTCGGGCCGGTTTCTGTAGCTGTGCTGGGATCCTAAGTGCCTTTAGTAACCTAACTTGTTTAGGGTGGAGATGGTAAACCACAGCCGGATCTGGCCCACCACCTATTTTTAGACTGCTCAGAAACAAAGAATGGCTTTTTTTTTTCTTTTTGAGGAAGATTAGCCCTGAGCTGACATCTGCCGCCAATCCTCCTCTTTTTGCTGAGGAAGACTGGCCCTGAGCTAACATCCGTGCCCACCTTCCTCTACTTTATATGTGGGATGCCTACCACAGCATGGCGTGCCTAGTGGTGCTATGTCCGTACCTAGGATCTGAACTGGCAAACCCTGGGCCGCTGAAGTGGAACGTGCGAACTTAACCGCTGCACCACCAGGCCAGCCCCCAAAGAATAGTTTTTATGTTTCTAAGCAGTTAAAAAAATCAAAAGAAGTTTTGACTCTCCTGTGGCATGTGAAGATTAAATGAAATTCAGATTTCGGGGTCCATAGAGAAGCTTCACAGGGCCCGGCCGTGCTTGTTCATTTACCTGTTGTCTGCGGCCGCTTTTGTGCTACAATGCAGCATTGCGGCAGAGAACACACGGCCTGAGGAAACTCCAAGCGTGTGCTATCCGGCTGTTTACGGAGAAAGTCTGCCGAGCAGCATGACGCAGAATTACTCATGTGGATCTGCTGTGTGGACAGTGGGAGCCTTCGAAGCTTCCTACGGTTGGGAGGGAGCAGCTATGACCAGAGCTTAAGGTGATTCAGGAAGCAGAGTGTGGGAACGGAGTGGGCTGGCAAGAGACCCAAAGCAGAAAAACCAGTGAAGAAGCTGTCATGAGAGCCAGGCTCCAGCATCTCCGGGGCTGCGCATGGCAGTCACCCCAGGAGGCGGAAGATGCTGGTGGGAGAAGTCATGACCTCCGTGGAGACGGCAAATGAGGGGTGAGTCAGAGAAAACCTGAAAGTTTCTGGCCTTAGCAAACTAGAGAAAGACGACGTGTTAGGAGAAAAAGGAAAACAAACGAGGATGCTTAAGTTTGAACAGAAGAGTGGACGGTGAGGTGTCCAGGTGACCGCTAGGTGGGGCTGTCCAGCAGGCGAATGAAAATTTGGGCACCAGCTCAGGGAAGGGAGTAAGGGTTGCAAGAAGATTTTGGGGTCATGGACAGTTGGAAAGTAGCTGAAGTTACAAGTGGATGAAGGAGGCAGGGAAGAGAGGAGAGAGGAGAGGGCGAGGCCGGGTCCAGGGGAAAAGCTGAATCTAGGAGGCGGGCGCAGAAGAGGAGCGGGTGAGAGAGAGGAAGACAAGTGGGCTCAGAATGCTGAGAATGTGCCCTTGTTTACTCCATTATCTTTTGTACTTTTCTGTGTTTAAACAGGAGGTGGGGGAGGAGTCAGGGTGGCAAGAAAGGAGAGTATTGTGTTTTGTTTTCTTTCCTGAATGCGAGCCTGCCCAAGACAAGCCGCTTCTTTTTTCTTTTCTTTTTTTCTTGGTATTTGTCTCCCTCAGTTAACAGCAATCGTGAAATTCCAGTGAAGACATTCAGCTACTCCACAGTCCTTGATTCTAGCCTCCAGGAATTGACCGAATCGGTTTCTGTAACTTCTTCCAAAAGTAAAGTTCAGAATCTGCCCCTGAGTTCAAGGGGGATCCATCAGTTGCAACACAAGTTGGGTGCACAGGTCAAGGGTTTATTTGTACTCCCTTTCCAAGAAATGATTGTGTAAGGGTTATTTGGCAATACTGAGGTTACTCACCTCCCACCAGATATAGTCAAACAGGACTAAGGACTCTCTGAAGAGGCTGGGGTTGGGCTACGTGGGCCCCGTGGGGACAGATGATCCAGCAACTTGAACTTGAGCCTCTCGTGGAATTACGAGCGGGCGTTTCTGAAACCTGTTCTTTGTGCAGCCCTCCTTGAGCACGTACTTAGTCCTACTTTGGTTATTTTTAAAAATTTGTCTCTTTTCACCCCTAAGCTTGGAATCTCACGAGGACGAGGACTGAACCTTTCATTTTCACTCTAGTTTTAGCAACCTGCCAGATTACGCTGATCTGAATCCTCCCCCTGCCCCACCTCCATTTTTATTTTCAACATGTAGACATGGTGGATAAAGCAGCTCATCTGAGCTCCAAAGAAAGATGGAGACGCCCAGCTGCTGGAGAAAAAGGGAACAACTCTGCATCTGAGGGCGGCGAGCTCAGGCGCTGATGGTGTGACGGCCTGGAGAGCCGCTGCCTTAGGGCCCAAGGGTCAAGGGCTGGGACTCGATGCCCACGCAGGGACGGACACGAGGCCCTGAGCCCATGGGAGCCTCTGAGAACATGCATACGGCCTTGATATAAAGGGCTGCCCCTCACGAGAAGCCAGCAGGCCCCAGAGAACCGATGAGGACACTTAACCATGTCCATAGCTCTTGGGTGGGGAAAGAATATCTCCCACCAGAAAATTCAGACCCAAGCCTGTGTCACGTCTGAGTGCGCGGGCCACGTTCCCAGTCTCTGTAGACTGCAGGGATCCCCGAGCTGAGAAACTAGTGTGAACACTTGTCCTGAACCAGTGACACCCTTGGGGCGCCCACGACAAGTAAAGGGAAAACGATTTGGTAGCAACTTGGGGCTGTGGGAATCCCACAGAGAAACAGGCTCCCCTGAAGAATGAGTTCAAAATAAAGATTTCTTACTGTACCAGGAAACGTCCCCCATAGACGAGAGGCAGCAGCAACAACAGACGGCAGGGTCGGCCCTCAAAACCTTGACAGTCCAGAACAATCTAAAAGAGACAATAGAATTACTAGGTTTAAAAAGCTCTTTGAAAAGATAAAAGAGGGAATATAAACAAAAGGAAAGACCAGAGCACGATGAAAATATAGGCGGATGTGAAAAAAATAACATAGAAATTTAAAAAAAAAAACAATCATTGAAATAACTCGATGGATGGTTAAACAGCCAATTAAATGCAGCTATAGGAGAATCAGTGAGCTGGACATTGTCCGGCAGACCACACAGAACAGCACAGAAGAAAAAGATGAGCGTCAGAGAAACAAGGAGAATAGGCTGGGAAGGTCCAAAATGCCTGTCATAGGAGTTCCCGAAGGAAAGAACGGAGTGAACGAGAATAGGCTGAGACATAAGGGCTAAGAATTTTCCAGAACTGCTTTGAGGCACGAAACTTCAGGGTGAAGAAGTGCCTGGCAGATCATGGGGAAAACTCAGGCTTATCAAAGACAAAGAAGGGAAAGGTCTCAAAGCAATCACAGAAAAGCGATGGATTATCTACAGTGGAACCATAATTAGGTGAGGGCCAATCTCATGGATAACCATCAGGCCAGAAGTCCGTGTGCAAAACGGCAGTTGCCTCTGAATTGCCCAGCACGGTGTGGCATACAGACAAAGGCGCCCCGTTTGTGTATTAAGTAGATTGAATGAAAGGGAGAAAGTGGTTTCTGACAACACGACAATGGATTTCTGAATCAGGAGATGTTATTCTGTTAGGTGTAGGGTGTCGTGAAGAAATGACTTGGGGTAAAAAGAACCGAGTCCTGATTCTTTTTACCGCGTGACTTTGGGCTTCTCCGAGCTCACCATCCTCTCCTGTAAAATGGAGCAAACTTGCGTTCTGAAAACATCGCCTCTGACTCACACTGACCGAGTGCTTTGCAGGCCTCACCTGGAATTGGCCCTGGGGACGTAGCATCTTATAATTCAGAGCCCTGTCCCCAGGGAGCCACCAGCCTGGAGGAGGCAGACTTCCACGGGTCACTGATTGCCATGTGGGGCGATGGGTGTGCTCATGGCGGCAGATATCGGGGGCTGTGAGGAGCACAAAAGGAATGAAGGCAGCAGGGGCTGAAAGATGAAGAAGGGGCAGGTGGAGAAGGTACGAGAAGTACGTTTTAGTTGAGAAAGTGGCACAGAAATAAGCACTAACCTGCACAGACCGTGGTGGGAAGGCTGGCTGTGCTGCGTCAGAGACCGTCCCTGGGAGCAAATGGTGTGAGGCCGGGCGGACGTGACACCCAGGGGTGGGCAGGGACCATGCTGCTGCCCTGCCCGCCTCTCAGGGGCCAGCTCAGAGCGAGGAAGGGTCCTTCACGGTGCCTTGTGCCTCGTACAGATGCTGGGCAGGTCGGCGAGACCAGAGTTCAAGGAAAAGACATTGCCCCTGACCGGGAACCCTACTCTCAGCTGCCATTTCTCTGTCTCCCGATAGGCGATGAAATTCTGGAACTCAACGGTGAATCGATGGCCGGACTGACGCACCAGGATGCCCTGCAGAAGTTCAAGGTGACCACCTGTCAGCAGTATGTGGCCCAACGCTGGGCCTCGGGCACAGGAACCGGCTCCCAGCATCACGCACCTTCATTCAGCCCCACACATTCCAAACCTCATCCTTCACGGGGGGCCCAGCTGATGCTAATCTTGGCCCCATGTTGGAAAAAGACCTGACTGGGAAAATAATAGTGCAATCAGGATTATTGCAGGGGAGGTGTCAATTATTTAACATTTATAAGGACTGTTTTAAAACATTCCATGTATTTATATGGATATATTTACAAATCTGTTTTAGGTTTTTAAGACAATCACTAAAAGATATTTTTGAGTCTCTATCTAGTTTTTTCAAGACGATCTGGCATATATATGTATAGAAGCAGGTATGTCAATGTGATATGTTCTATCTATGGATATACATATAGACATGTGTCATGTATATGTTTGCACACATTCACGCATTGCCCTCTCCCTCTCACACATGTGCACACACACACACACACACACACACACTCCCTTAAAAACTGTCCTACTACTGTCACTCACGGAGGCCCATGTTCTCCACTCGCCCGGGTCGCTGCAGCTCTCTTTCTTTGCAGCAAGCCAAGAAGGGGCTCCTGACGCTCACAGTGAGAACCCGCCTGACGGCCCCCCACGCCCTGGGCGGCCCCCTGTCTCCCCCGCTGAGCCGTTCCCTGAGCTCCAGCACCTGTGTCGCCAAGGACGGCAGCGCCTTCCTCCTGGAAAGCCCCGCGGCTCCTGCCAGCACCGCCAACTATAGAATCATGCTGGAGGTGTCTCTGGAGAAAGGTAGGGGGGCCATGTTCCAGAAGGTTCTGCCAGGTTCCGCCATCCTCCCTCCTCCACACTCCCACCTGGGCCTGCCACCGCTGAGGCTCCCAGACTTCCCTCGTCTGGAATCAGTCCAGAAACAGGGCAGGCCGTTGTCTGTTAACAGATTTTACAGCTGAGCAGCGAGGTCTGGTGCTCTGTTTGTTTATAGAACCCCGTCCGTGTGTTCTGGTGCAGTAGGTAAAATAAAGCAGAACAGAGCAGACACAAAACCACACACACATGCACCGAAACGATGGACCAGGAGTTGAAGCTCTGCAGCTCACACTAAGGGACCTTGGGCAGGTCACTTCCCCGCCCTGAGACCCTTTATTCTTACTGTGGCTGGAGAATCAAGGTCTTTTCCAGCTCGCACATTTGGGGATTGACATCCACTCCCTTCGCCACCCCCAGGAGGCTGCTGACTTCAGGGGGCTCGGCAGGCCCTCTCTGCCACAGTGAGAGGGAGCCGAGCCATGAAGGTGCAGAGGAGGCAGCTGGCATGGAGCTGGGCTCCAGCAGTGGGATCAGCACGGATTCTGGGCAGAGAGGGCAGGCCAGTGTGGCTGCGCGAGGCGGGCGGGGTGAGGAACGAGGGCAGAGTGCCCAGCGGAGACAGACTCTGCAGCTGGATTCTCTTCTCATTGCAACTGGAAGTTCTTCAAGGATTTCCCAGCAGGGGAGTGGCGCAGTCAGGTTATGCTTTAAAAAATATCTCCTAGGTTCCTCTGGAGAGAGTGGCCTGAAGTGTGACAAAGGCAGAGGCTGGGGAACGAGGTGCCCCCCCTGGCTTGGAGAGGATGGGAGATGGAGAGGAGAGGGCAGGTCTGAGAAATATCACAGAAGTGGGGCGAAAAGGGTGTATGATTGGTTCCTTGCCTCGGGCCTTGTCTGGTACGTGTCTCTGCTCTGCTGGACTGAGAGCCCCCGAGGGCCACACACGTCCCAGCCTGCAGGTCTGGCCTGGCGCCTGGCACACGTCCTGGGCGCACACGGGTCCATGCAGGCACGGTGCCGACAGCTGTCTCCAGGGTTCCCACCATGAGTCTCCTGAGCAGACGAGGAACGTGGGGAGGACCCAGCTCTCCTGGCCTCCCTGTCAGGCTCTGTGACCCAGTGGGCAGCGCCTGGCCTGGGAGCGGTGTTTGCTCTGATCACGGGCATCAGGCACGCCGTAGGCAAGGCTTTGTTTGATTGTCTCATATGACGCAGCTTCTTAATTCCCACCCCCAGAGGTTTTGCTTCAACAGTGTTAGGGGTAAGGCCCAGGGGTCTGCATTTAAATAAGTACCCCAGCGATTCTGGCACCCACTGGGCTTAAGGACTCTAGCCCTAGCCAGAAAATCTGGACTGTGGTCTGACCTTTGTGGTCTGTGTCATAGCCCGAATTCCTCATTCATAAAATGGTTGCTCTCCCTCACCCGTGGCGTTCCCCGTGGTACCGTTGGCAGGACCAGCGTGGGAGGTGGAAACATTCAGGAACGTGCTTTGTAAACCATAAGTGCGGGAAGAAAGCCCCTGGAAGGTTGTTCTCCTCCTCCCTGGCCACCCCTCTAGTCCCTCTTGCTGGTGGCTCCTAGTGTCCAGTCCTGTCAGAGCTGGAGCACCCCGGGCCTGCTCCCCACACACCCTGGGGCATCAATCCAGGCCCGTGGGCTGGACACCACCTCCATGCTGCCAATTGCAAACACTTGTCTCCCACCATGCCTTCCTACTGGGGTCCGGATTCGTCTATCCAACCTCCTACTCCACACGTCCACTTGGGTGCCTTGTAGGCATCTTGAGTGCGTCATGGGCAGAACTGAACACCTGTTTTGGTAAACGGCACCATCGTCTCCCCAGTCATTCCAGCCAAAAGAGCTCTGTTATTTTTATTTTTATTCATCAAATGCCCATATTTAATCCATCAGTAAGTATCTTCAAAATATATTGCCTGTGTATCTAACGCTCCCCATCGTCCTTCCTGCCCTTCTTCCTCCCGCCCCCCAGCCCCTCCTCGCTCCTCCCTTCCTTCTCTTCTTCCTTCTTTCCTTCCTAGTCTTTCTCCTGTTGAACTTATCCCTTCAAGGTCCAAGCCGCCGTTGTCTGGCTCAGTAGAGCCTCATAACTGGTCTCCTTGCTTCCGTTTTTGACCCCTCACGGTTCTTGCTCTTCGCGGCAGTCAGTCGTTTGTAAAAGTTGAAATCGGATCGTGTCGCTCCCTGTTCGAAGCTCTCCGGTGGCGTCCGCTTCTCAGCAGAGAATAGTGTCCTTTCACTGACCCACCTTGTTTGCAAAGCCCCACGTAAGCCGGCCCTCGCCTGCCTCCCCTCCATCATCTCATACACCCTCCCTGTGACCATGACAGCCCCGTTCCGGTTACACTGGTCTCCTTTCTGGTCCCGACACACCGCACCTGTCTTCTTGCCTTTGGGCCTTTCTTTGCATTAGTGTTTCCTCTGGGGATGCTCTGCCCCCACTCCACATCCCACGTTTCTTCTTCTCATTCATATTTTAGCCTAAATGTTGCCCCTGTGAGGCCTGAAGTGGCCATCCCGGTGCTTTCTAGAACATTCCCCATTAATTCTCTGCATAGTATTTATCGCTCTCTGACATCTTTCTCTCCTCCCTTCCTCCCTCATTACTTCTTTCTTTCTTTCCTTCCTTCCTGGTCTTTCCCCACTTGAACTTATCATCCCCTATCTGCCTGGGTCACTGTTGCTGACCCCAGGGCAGGGTCCACACACAGTGGGTGCTCCATAGATAGGGGGGTTAGGGTTAGGGTTAGGGTTAGGGTTAGGGGTGGGACGAATGCCATACTGATTAAGGGACAATGACTGACCCGTGACCCCCTTTGGACACCTAACGGACGAGCATGAACCTGGGACAGCTCAGGTGCGAGTCCCCACCACCTCCCATCTCCGTTCCAGAGGCCGGCGTGGGGCTGGGCATCGGCCTGTGCAGCGTGCCCTACTTCCAGTGCATCTCCGGCATTTTCGTGCACACCCTCTCTCCGGGATCCGTGGCTCATCTGGACGGACGACTCCGGTATGCCCTTATTTCTGTTTTTGGAAAGACCCAGATTTACAACAAAGGAAAGAATTCCTTAGAATGTCAGGAGACCGACTCGGAGACGAGATATTTAGAACGATCCAGCACGAGCTGGAGCCTTGTTCCTCGAAGTGAGGTCCCTGGACCACCGGTGGGAGTTGGTTAGAAACGCAGCATCTTAGGACCCTCAGTGAAACGCTAAATCAGAACCTGCATTTTCACAAGACGCCCCGGTGTTTGCACGCACAGTGTGGTTTCAGAAGTATCGTCTCAGAGAACACCAGTCTGAGATGGAAAACATGAATTCAGATTTAACTAATTTGGAATTTATAGTGACGTAAGTAGGAGCCTTGATGAGGTTTACCTGTGTCCTCCATATGGAAAATAAAGCTTCCCACGCAAATCCAGAAGTATGAACTCAATTTCAGGCACTCCAGATATATTTCTTTACAAATAACTTCTGAAAGAAGTACAAATTTAAATTTTCTTTTCAATAAGTGATCTGAATTTGGTGACAACATTTTATCCCAGTTTAACTTGTTGCAACGCTTCATACTCAGTGCAACGTTCATGTATCGTGCGTCTTCTGTCATACGGCAGGTCCTCACGTATGTCTTTCCCACGGGGTTTGGGTTTTGCTAAATCGGAAGAGTTTTGCCGTATCTTTGAAGGTTTTCCTGCAGTTGCAGTGTATTCGAGGGAGAGCCCTGCCTAGGATGGTACCTTGGTGGGGCTTCTGAATTAGTGATGGGTTTGCTGCTGTCACGTGCAGGAGACTGACAGCTGCCTCGCTGAGCTCCTGTCCTGTTACCTGGGACACAGTTGCAGAGTCAGAGTGATGGCCTTAGTCCCAGTACCTGCAGACGGAGTCCTCTCTGCTAGAACTGCAGCCGGTGGGGATGGTTCTGGAGGCCTCCTCTTTCCTCGGCTGGGGAAACCTAACTGAAACCGTGGTCTTCAGTTACGTCGATGGAGATGTGCACGTTTTTAGCAAAGGTGGAGGGGGAGCAAGTCAGCAGATGCAGGAGGAGGCGGCAGCAGCCAGAGCAGAGGAAGAGTGAGATCAGCATCAGG